TCAGAGAAGAATGGGAATCCCAGAACACTTGAGGTGGATTGATTCAGTGATGGGGTATCAGGATGGGAGTGTCAGAGATAGTGTGATTGGCACAGGACAGAGCAGAGTTTAGGGCTGTTGTATATAGGGTCACTATGAGTCGCAAACTACTCTATGGCACATAACAACAACAACAACAACAATATGAGACCCAAGCTTTATGGAAAAATAATCTTCCAGAAATAACGACTTTTGTAAAAAGTATAGAAAACTCCAAAAGATGGAAACACACACTACAAAAAAGTAAAGTATTTTTAATTATAGAGGAATAAAATGTAAACAAATCAAACTTGCAAATTAATAGATTTTGTTATTTTTGTTATGTGCTGTTTAATCGCATGTGACTCATAGCAACTCTATATACAAAAGCTCCAAACCTTTCTCTATCCTAAGCCAACCTTATTATCTCTTACCCACCTACTCCCATTATTACCCCAATCACTGAGTCATCCCGTCTTCCCAAGAATGAAGTCTATCTCTAAAGGGCAACCTGGTTTCACTCTCTCTGGGATGAACTTCTTTGTTCTCCTTACAGTCCATGGTATATTCATTACTCTTCTTTAGTACCCCAGCTCAAAGACATCAATTCTCCTTCTATCATCCTTAGTCATTGCCCAGCTTTCTAATGCATAACAAGTAGTTGTAAAGAGTATGACTTGGATTAGGTGCATCTTAGTCTCCAGACTGATGTCATTGGTTTTCAATATTCTGGAGAGGTACCTAAAAACAGATTTTCCCAATGTAACTAATCTTTTTTTTCCTGGCTGCTGGTACCAAGAGTGTTGATTGTGGATCCAAGTAAACTGTTAACAACCTCAATCTCTTCTCCATCTATTATGGTGCTGCCAATTGGAACAGTAGTGAGAATCTTTTATTTTCTTGATGTTGAGCTTCAATCCACATTGAAGGCTGCAGGCCTATACTTTCTGCAGCAAGCACTTCAGATCATCCCAAGTTTCAGCAAGCAAAGTTGTGTCATCTGCATATGCAGGTTGTTGATGAGTCTCCCTCCAATCCTGATGCCACATTTCTCCTTACAGAGCCTAGCCTCCCAGGTGATCTGTTCTGCATATAGATTGAAAAGGTATGAAGATAGGGCACATTCCTTGTATATAGCGTTTCCAATTTTGAACCATGCAGTATTTCTTTGCTCTGTTCTGCTGACTGCCTCCTGGTTCAAGTATAGGTTTCACATAAGCACAATCAAGTGTTCTGAGATTACCATTCTTCTCAGAGTTAGCCAAAGTTTGTTGTGATTCACAGTTAATAGGGATATGACAAAGGCAAAAAATATAAGTACGGAAAACTCTTGATAAGCTGAAAGTACATTACAATTTGGCAGATATAAAAGTAAACAATAAAAATATTTTTGTGTTAAAATAAATTGACTTAAAAAATCAACCATAAAACAGATATAGGGCTTGTGTAATTTAAGTTGTATAATTAAATTTATAGAATCAGCTATGAGTCAGGTCCAACTCGATTACATCCAAAAACAACACATCAATTTGTATGAAATGCCAAGAATAGCAAATACATAGAGGAAAGTAAGTTAATTTTCTTTAATATATCATTATTTGGGGTTTTTTAGCTCTGATGAGTCATGCTAACAGGATTTTGGAGATTTTCTAATTTCTAGCTCCTAAAAAGTTAACTGACTCAAAGAAAATATTCAGCAAAGAAATAAATATATATTGATGAATCAATGGACTTATCATTTAGGACTGTTTATGTGGAAGAAGCATTGAGGATAACTCTTTAATATCTTCCCCCCCCCTGAAAATATAAACATTTATTAACTATTATTTCTCTCCCTCTTCTGAGATCTCTAGTTTGGATATATGTTTTCCTTTAACTTTGTTGTATTTTACATCTTTGCGTCTAATGATCTGATAGAAAGTTAGAATTCAGACTTTATGATGTGCTAACATGTTTCCTTTACTAAAAAGGATGCGAGAAAATTAGTCACTAGATCATAAAAAGTGAGACAGTATTTTGAGAAAGTTAATCTGACATGGGAATTTGGAAAGTTCACTTTGTATAAACTGTACTTCACATTCCCTTATTTCTTGAAAAATATTACAATTCTTTTAAGTGAGTCATTGAAGGCTTGTTTTACTTGTTTGTTCCTCAGTGTGTAAATAAAAGGGTTCAGCATAGGAGCAATGGAAGTCATGAGTACTGTTACACCTTTATTAATGGCTACTGATTCTTTTGCTGAAGGTTTGATGTAGATGAATATGCAGCTACCGTAGGTGATGGAAACCACTATCATATGAGAAGAACAGGTAGAAAAGGCTTTTTTCTTTTGCTGAGCAGATGGAAATCCTAAAACAGTCCTGATGATATGAATGTAGGACAGAATGACACACATAAGTGTTATAATTAGAGTCAACACAGCACAGATTATAACAGTCTGTTCCATGAACCAAGTATTTGAACAGGAGATCTTTAGAAGGGGAGATGCATCACAGATAAAATGATCTAAAATATTAGAATGGCAGAATTCCAGATTTAGGCCTAGGCTGAGTGGAGGGATTAAAATAGAGAGACCGGCCACCCAACAGCAAAAGACAAGTCTTCTGCACCTTGTGCTGCTCATGACAGTCGTATAATGCAGGGGCTTACAGATGGCCACATAGCGGTCATAGGACATGGCAGCCAAAAGGAAAAATTCCGTTACACCAAAGAGGTCAATAAAAAATACTTGACTGACACAAGCATTATAAGTAATGAACTTGTCACCTGTTCCTATGTTATACAAGTATCTGGGAATAGAAGCAGAAGTGAATGAGATCTCTAAAAAGGAGAAACTTTGTAGAAAAAAGTACATGGGTGTTTTAAGGTGAGAATCCAGTAAGACAAGTGTGATGATTGTCAGATTTCCACTTACACTCAACAGATAGCTGACAAAGAGGAAGATAAATATTAACACTTGCAGTTGTGGGTCATCTGTCAGTCCCAGCAGAATGAATGTAGTTACTGTATGATTTCTCATCACTGACTCTCAACTCCTTTGCAATCTGCATTAAATATTCAGAGATATTTTATTATAGATCATTGGACAGTATTATATTTATCATGTTCTGACTTTTGTTACTAACTTAAATTTATTACTTTATGTTTAGAAATGTTTCTTCTTCAAATCATCACTCTGAAAAATATTGGTTTTAGGTGCTATTACCCACTTCATAAACAACATGCCTCTGGAGACTCTATGAACTTTGATAAATGAATTTAGCTGTAGAAAGGTTTCAGGCCTTTTGTTCATAGGGTTGTTATGAGTGGTGCTTGACTCGATGACAATCAACAACAGCAACAGTCTTATAAGGAGCAGAAATATCCTATGGCTTAAAAATTAATTGTTTTATGTTATTTCCTTAACATTTGCTCCTTTTTAATGTACTAAAATGTATTAGACATCTTGGACTGTACCTTTTGAGGTCTCTTGATGTCTCTATATCAGCTCCATATCTAAAGATTTTGATGAAAGTATACATATATTTTCTTCTATTAATAACTATAAGTTCTAAATGTGTACATACACATTTACACACATTTACCCATGTACACACAGACACATACACAGACTATTTCCAACTCTCTTCCTGACTCCTTAGATTCCTCAGTTAGCTTTGACTTCAATGGCATCTAACAACAACACAATATGTTTTCCAATGAAGCAGAATGCAAATTTTTATTGCCTGATTGAAAATATTATATTTTTATTTTCTCATTAAATACTCCCCAAAATTAGTTTCAAATATGTTATAAACCTGTAAGTGATATTTCCACTCATACTTTCATTGTAATTTCTTAGTACATTCTTCATCCTTTTTATCTTTTCTAATATTCACATTTTCTCTGAATTATCATTAATTTTTAAAGTTTCATTTAAAATTATTTTGTTTCGTTGCTTGAAATTTTTCCTCAGTGAATTTTAAAATATTTCTCCCCAACAACTCAATTAATTTTCATATCAACTCACTTTATTGTGTAGATTAATATGCTCTTTCATAGATTAGGACAGTCAACTCTGACATTTGAAGCCATGGATTTAGTCATGGCCTCATAGGTACAGAACAAACATAAGAAAGAACTAATCTCAGTTATGGTTTGTCTGAGAACTAGTACACTTTCAGGGAATTTATGAACAAATTGAACAATGATATAAAATCAAATTGATAGATAAAATATTGTTGCTTATCCTTTCTTAGTTTCCTCCATCCAACCCCCTAATGTTTTAGGTAACACATAGTTCGTGGAGTAAAGTTACTCAGTCCTATCTACACTGGACATTATTCAATGGCTTAGAAACATTTTTTTACCAAAGACACTATAAGGTATAATAAATTAAGACTGAAAAATAATTGATGGTGAAATGAAGCAACTGGTTTTCTTATATTCAATTTAAAAGAACATTTTAAAAAATGTGAACAAGGATTATTATCAGGTGGTACAATATTTGTCAATATTATTATTTAGAGGAGTTGTAGAACATATCTAAATAATAACATATAACTTTTCATGTAAGGTTGATAATGACATTCTAGGCTTAGTTCTTTAAATGCCAATATATTCTTATTTAACATGA